TGAGTTTTCTGATAAAGATCATTCTGTCTCATCACAACTTCCTCATTCTTTTCTTACTTGAGGTTTTTCTAAATCTTTTTCAACACAGATTAAAAACTGAAGAGGATGAGATTAAGAAGATTAATCTGGTTTGGTTTTGACTCCGTGATTATCTGAACTGAATAAATGTTGCAAAAACAAAATAATTTGTGTTCAGTCTGCTAGTTGCTTGTTTGTGTTTGGCAACACAAAAACCAGAAGTTAGTCTGGCAGAAAACATCCATTTTGATCCTTCCTCATTTTCAGATTTACTCGTTTCCTTGTTTTTGTTTTCATCCTGGTCGTGGAACAGTGGACCAGCTCTACACCCTCAGCAGGGTCCTGGAGGGTGCATGGGAGTTCGCTCAACCAGTCTACATGTGTTTTGTGGACTTGGAGAAGGTGTTCGATCATGTCCCTTGGGGACTCCTGTGGGGGGTACCCCAGGAGTGTGGGGTAGCAGGCCCATTGATACGGGCTATTAGGTCCCTGTAGGACTGGTGCCAGAGCTTGGTCCACATTGCCAGTAGTAAGTCGGACTTGTTTCCAGTCAGAGTTGGACTCCGCCAAGGTTGCACTTTGTCACTGATTCTGTTCATAACTTTTATGGACAGAATTTCTAGGAGCAGCCAAGGTGTTGAGGGGATCTGCTTAGGTGACCTTAGGATCACATCTCTGCTTTTTGTGGATGATGTGGTCCTWTTGGCTTCATCAGATCCTGATCTCCAGCTCTAACTGGAGCGGTTCACTCTCGGTTTACCAGTCGGTCTACGTTCTTACCCTCATCTATGGTCACAAGCTTTGGGTAGTGACCGAAAGAACGAGATCACAGATACAAGTGGCTGAAATGAGTTTCCTCTGCAGGGTGTCTGGGCTCTCCCTTAGAGATAGGGTGAGAAGCTCAGTCATCCAGGAGGGACTCAGAGTAGAGCCGCTGCTCCTCCACGTTGAGAGGAGCCTGTTGAGGTGGTTCATCTGGTTAGGCTGCCTCCTGGACTCCTCCCTGGTGAGGTGTTCYGGGCACGTCCCACTGGGAGGAGACCCAGAGGAAGACCCAGGACACRCTGGAGGGACTATGTTTCTCAGCTGGCCTGGGAACDCYTTGGGATTCCCCCAGAGGAGCTGGACCAAGTGTCTGGAGAGAGGGAAGTCTGGGTCTCTTTGCTTTGGCTGCTGCCCCTGAGACCTGACCCCAGATAAGAGGAAGAAAAWGGACGGACGGACTTGTTTCCTGTCTTTAAACTTTTTGTTTTCTTTATTTTAAAAACACAAATCTGCTTTTACAGATCATTTTTCTGTTTTTAAATAAAAGACAATTAAAATTAAATGAAAGGCATCAGTATGTGTTTGCTGTAGTTTGGATGTTAAATGTTTGATGATGAAGAACACTTACCTCTGACTGCAGCTTCTTTTTCACTTTCCTGCTGATGAATATCATCATATTCTTCCTGAAGACGGATCATCATGCAGACACTGAGACTCTCAGTCCAACTGGCTCTGAAACACAAAAAGTTCTCATCAAATTCTGCTGAGCCTCGAAATTTAAAACTCATTGAAAATATTGAGCAATTTATTAAAATCGACCTCAAAATATGACCTTTTTACTAGTTCTTCCTCATCACAACTTCCTCATTTTTTTTCTTCCTTGAGGTTTTTCTGAAAAATTTTCAACACAAAGCTAAAAGGTTGACTTTCACTTCTTCTTTGTTGACCTTCCAAAGTTTTGTCACGATGTAGAAGTCCAGTTATACGCAGACAACACTGTTTTGTACACGCATGCTAAAACGGCTCAACTTGCGGCTGAGAAATTATCCAAAGCTCTGGAGGGTGTGGTTGATTGGTTAAATCAATCCTGTCTGACTTTAAATGTAAACAAAACAAAAAGTATGTTTTTCTCTAAGTCTAAATTGGACACCTCAAATTTAAACATTTACATCAAGGGTAAACAAATTAATACTGTGAGTTTAAGTATCTTGGAGTTTTTTTGGATTCAAACCTCAGTTACAAGAAACATTTTAAAAATGACCCAAACTGTTAGATATAACTTGGTCAATTTTAGACATGTTAGATCTTGTTTGTCATTGGAAGCGGCCAAGATATTCATGCATGCATTCATTTTTCACACATTTCATATTGTATTTCATGTTGGGGACAAACCAATGAGTCAGTAATAAAACCTGTAGTGTCTTGTTACAAACAGGCCCTCAAAATATTTGACAACAAGCCCTTAAGACACCATCATTGTCAGATTGKGCAGAAATATAACTTGCTTTCTTTTGAGAATTTAAGTTTTTTTCAAATATGGAAACAGTTTATAAATTTTCAAAAATCTGTTTGCAAAAAATTGTTTATTATCGTTCAGCTGTTTCTTTGTGCTTAACCAGAACATCCAGGCAGAACTGTGAAGTTCCTGCTCGGCGCTCAGCCTTTGGTCAAGCAGCTTTTTCAGTTAAATCCATCGCTCAGTGCACTGCTGCTCCTGATCGTGTAATAAAACCGTAATTATTTTATTAGTTTTAAAAATAATCTTAAAAAGTATCTTAAAAGAGACCAATTATGAGTCCTAAAAATGTTTATGGTATGTCTGTGCGTTATCCAGACCATGTTCATTTAATTTAATGCACAAAATAATTCTCAGATAATAAAATTTCCCATTTTCTAGTTCTGCCTGCTCTGACTTCTGTTCAGAAGAGCTGTTTATGTTAATGAGCTCTGTTGGTAACGCCCTCCAAAAATCTGTTGACATTAACTCCGCCCTCCAAAGCCAGCGTTTACGTTAGCATGGCTAATAATAGCAGAAGCTCCGTTGTACAACCATATGAGACCCAGAGGCAGAGTCTATCGCAACTTCTTCTTTTTTTTCTCTCCCTCCTCTGCTCTGCGCTCACTCTGCATGCTGTTACCAGAGCAGGGAGCAGCAGCGGTCAAAATACCTCAGAAACTCGAACAAATAGGCTTTAACAAGGCTTTAATAAGCTAAACAATAGAGGTCCATGAGAAAACGTGTTCATAACGAATGAAAATAAATAATTAAATAAATAGTGTCCGTGCCGGTCTCAAACCCTGGTCTCCCGCTCTCTGGTCAAACACTCTACCCATTGCCCTATTGGAGACTTGTTGTGAAATGAGCTACACATTGCACAACAACAACTATGGCGGCTTTTTATACTGAGGAGGTGGAGTCTCACCCGGGGGTTGCTAGGTAAGGGGCTGAACGCAGGTTCAGGTGGGYTGTCGTACGGCTTGTGACATCACAAAATAATGTAAGTATAAAACTTGTCGTTAATATACATTAAAAATACATTTACTTACAGTAAATATGCCCCTGGGTGCATTTTTTTGGTCCTAGGACTGTTTTTTTAAAGAAGTACATACCCAAAGTTGAGTAAAAAAAACCTTTTAAAAGTGAATTTTGCATTAATAGGTCTCCTTTAAACCTACTCAGTGCTGCAATCACTGAATTGCACTGGGTAATCGATTTTAGAGTTTGCTTTTGGTTTGGGGAAGTTGTGGGGTTTTTGTTGAATGTTTAGAGATATAAGTTTTTGATTGTGTTTGGTGAGTGGGGTGTTTATGTATTTTCATTGTTGATTGTAAAATTTTTTATTATGTATTGTTTTCATTTTCCTGTTATTTTCTTTTCTTGTTTTTATTATTGTTGGATGTTGTGTTGAGGACTACAGATGTAAATTAGCCGTAGACTAAATCTGGTGCAATGCATCAAATGTTTTTAGGTTACTGTTTTAATTGCACATTGTGCTCATAAGTAAAATTCATCCATCATCATCTTTCCTTATAAAATGTTTCTATTGCAATATAATCCTGTATTGATCAGATCCAACTTAAATCTGAGTTAATCTGTTCACAAAGCAGCAGACTGAGTCCTGACTAAATSATTTTATATGACTCTGATTGTCTCTTTACTCTGTTTTCCTGTTGGTTTGAGTCACAAAGAACAGCTGAGTGAAGCCAACCCCTCCCAAAAAACGAACCACAGAAAAATAAAAGGCAAATTGGATGAGTGGTTAGTGCTTCGTTTCTGCACTTGAAATTGTCCTTTGTGCTGCTGATTTTTTTTATATATTAAAGATTATTTGTAAGGGTCATTCAGGGGTCACCAGCCCTACCGCTCGCTCCAAAATGAACCAAAAATGAAGCAAACTAGTCGAACTTTGTAGTGCTTTGTTTGAGCAGTTTTGTGCCGTTGAAATGGCTGTTTGTGCTGCTATAGTTTATGAGATATTACACGTTATAATTTCGGACGATTACGTGACTTGGCCCATTGTCACAGACATGAACAATTCAGGCCAAGTCACATGGTCGTCYGAAATTATAACGTGWAATATCTCATAAACCATAGCAGCACAAACTACAATTTCAAGTGCACAAACGAAGCACTAACCACTCACAGTWTTTGCATTTTATTTTTCTGTGGTTCATTTTTTGGGAGGGGTTGGCTTCACTCAGCTACAGAACTTTAAAAGGCCAGGCCCCTGATAATCTGAGTATGGAATAATCTAATCCCACTCGCTTTGAATGTGAGGTACATAATCTGCTGGTTGTTGTTCATCTGACACCAAAAACTGAAGAGGATGAGATTAAGAAGATTAATCTGGTTTGGTTTTGACCCCATGTTTTACTGAACTGAATAAATGTTTCAGATTACATTTTTTTCACTCTAGACAAATGTTGCAAAAAGAAAATCAGTTGTGTTCAGTCTGCTAGTTGTTTGTTTGTGTTTGGCAACACAAAAACCAGAAGTTAGTCTGGCAGAAAACATCCAGTTTGATCCTTTTTCATTGTCAGATTTACTTGTTTCCTGTCTTTAAACTTTTTTTGTTTTCTTCATTTTAAAAACATAAATCTGCTTTTTCAGATCATTTATCTGTTTTAAATCAAAGACAAATATAATTAGATTAAAGGCATTGCTATGTGTTTGCTGTGGTTTGGATGCTAAATGTTTTCTGATGAAGAACACTCACCTCTGACTGCAGCTTCTTCAGCTTCCTGCTGATGAATGTCCTCATCTTCTTCCTGTGGACGGGAGTGAGAATGCATTGTTGGCATGTTTTTGGTCTGTAGGGGGAAACTGAAGTCATTGCACAACAACAGTCAAGAAAATCAGATAGTTGATCCTTTGGGTGTTTGTGATCAGGACTTTTCTAAAAAATAAAATAAACATTTCTGAGAAGTCACTTCCAGACACTTGGATCATATTTCTTCAGCCCATCTGTGACCCAGTTGAAATTTGTACATATTTAATAAAAAAAAAACCATTAACAATCATGCAAACAAATCAAAAACATGTAACCATGAGAAAATAACTTTAAAACAGAGCTATTCTATTAAACTGCTCCGGGGGCCACAGTTACTGCAGGTCAACAGCTCAGGGGCCGAACATCCAGCAAATTAAATCATTATGTAAATAAAGCAAGTATTACAAAGTACAGGTGGGCGGCTCGATACTAAATATCGATAATATCGATACCAGCGCTGGTATTGAGATTGAACAATACTCGTGTAAAAAGATCGATACTCAAGCTTTGTTCTTTCCCGCACACAAATTCCTTATTTTTTGTTTTTCCTTAGAACAATTTTATTTAATGAAAGAAACAAATAAATAACTAGGAAAGATGTCTAGTGGTGAGG